ACTGGTGCTTTCCACTCACCTGGTACCCAAGACAGCCCCCTTCCCATCCTTGGGCAAGACAGCAGCTGCCCTATACAAGTACCCAGGATATCCCACCTGCCCTCATCTTGAACCTCCCCATCATGGCTCTTGAGACTACTGTCCATTCTGCTGCTGGGTTCTAGGTTCAGGCTCTTGGCCAGGCATTCCAGATCAGTACCCTGGTCACGTCGTCTGATCTTGTATGCCAACTTCTGGACTTGGCTTCATGCCCAGCTTAGGCACACTCCTGGTCCCTCCCTGGTCCAATGCCACCACATTCGTTTCCAGGAAAGGATGTGAATGATGGAGAAGTAGAAATATCACTGGAAATCTCCAAATGCAAGAGCTTCTAATGGGGCTGCTTCACGGAATCCCTGGGGGAAGTACAGCAAGTCTCATACACACTCATTCAATCTGCTCACCAACCCTGAGAGAGGCAGCGGGGGCTCCACATACAGATGACACAGAAGACCAAAGAAGAGGAGGGGCATGCCATGGCCTCTCAATCAGGGAGTTTCTCTAAGGGGACAATGCTCCACTTGGCTACCAGCAAAGACCTTGCTTGCAAATCCTTCTCTGGGAAACCACAGGGGCTTTATCACATCATGACCAGCTTTCTCCTGGCTCCCACTTTGGCTGTGCCCAGGCCTGCATTTGTTAGGAGGAAGACACCTGTGTTGGGTTCACCGACTGGCATGCCCTAGCCCTGCACATGGCATTTGCCAGCCTAAGTATTAATATGGTCACTATTGGTTAAGTGACATCATGCCAGCAATTGTCCTAAAGATATGCACATATGTGTGTGTTTGTATATTCATGCATGTATTTATATAATCTCATATTTTAAAATAAATCTAATATACATATAATGTCATCATACATATAAAGCTCATTCAATCACTAAAGAGTGACAATGTGTCCAAAACTCTTCTAAGTATTTTATATACAAAATCTCATGTAGATATATAAAATCTCATTTAAATATATATCTTTCATATATTTGTATAAATCTAATATACCCAAAATACACACATATGCAAAAATCACATTGTCATTAGTGACTCTATGCAAACAACTGTACTAATAATTGTGTAATGACATGTAATCTAATTTACATGACTCATATAAAAATCTTGCATATATATATATATATACACACACACATGAAAATTTCATTTAATCATTAGTGACCATATGTTAGCAACTGTTCTAAATACCATATATACTCATTTATATATAAATCTCATATGCAAATTTCATTTAATCATTAAAAATTACTATATGCCAATAAGTGTTTTCTATATCATACAAAATAATTTTATATTTCAATGCCATTTATATACTTAAACTTTATATACATATATATTTTCACAAATGTACAGACACACAGACATATATACAGGTGTGAGTAACTCTGTTAATCCTTCAAAAAGTCCCTAGAGGCAGGCACAGTTGTTATCCTCAAAGGCAGAGCAAACCCAGACACATGGCACCTACGATAACCAGGTGTATTAGTCTGCCCACACACTACTATAAAGAACTACCTGAGACTGGGTAATTTATGCAGAAAAGAGGTTTAACTGAGTCACAGTTCTGCAGGCTTAAGAGGAAGCATGACTGAGAGGCCTCAGGAAACTTACCATCATGGCAGGAGGTGAAAGGGAAGCAAGCACCTTCTTCACAAGGTGGCAGGAGAGAGAGAGAGCAGGGGGAACGTGCCACCCACTTTTAAACCATCAGATCTCCTGAGAACTCACTATCACGAGAAGAACATAGGGAAAACCACCCCACAATCCAATCACCTCCTACCAGGTCCCTCCCCAACATTGGGAATTACAATTCAACATGAGATTTGGGTTGGGACACAGAGTCAAATCATATCACCAGGTCTCATTTGGGCTCCTGGCACTCACACTTAGACCCGCTCCCAGAAATCTGAGCCATTCCTGACTCAGTTATGGGTAATGCTAGTTTTGCAACTGCTCAGGCTCAAAATCCCAGGCTCACCCTTGACTCCTCTCCCTGACTCCATAGTTCATCTTACCTGCAAATCTTTGTCTGCCTTAGACTCAGGATTTTGCTCCTTCTCACCACCTCAACCACTCTGTCTCTGATTAAACTCAAGCCTCTGTTGAGGTGCAGATGGACAATTCCAAGAGTCTCATGATACTGACTTTGCTCCTGCCCTCACTGGCTTTTGTCTATTTTCATGGAGGAAATCTGTTAAAGCACAAGGCAGCACAGGCACACCACTCTGCACCCTCCAGGGTCTCCCATCTCACTTGGAGTGAACTCTCACGTCCTTGTCACAGCCCACAAAGCCCTACAGTGTTTCTCTTATATGAAGAATGCCAACACATTGAGATCACCACTTTCTAATGCCTGGATAATTTCCAGATATAATTTGTGTATCTTACATTTATTAAGAACGGTTTAAGAGGATTCCATTAGAGAGAACTGGGCTGCCCAATATTACACACACACACACACCCAGAAAGCAAAAGAAGAGGCCTCCCCCTTCATTTCAGGTTGAAGAATGGGGCCTTACATATACCTCCTAAAACTTGGCGGACATAGTGGATTGGTGTCTGACTCAGGCTTGAGAAACTTAATGAACAAGAGACTGAGGCTGACTTCCTACTCTGCTAGTGAGGCAGCTGCTGCTGTGCAGGAAGGAGCTTGCATACCTTGCATCAGTTTGGGCAGAGGATGCATGAGTGTTTCCCATGAGCCACATGTGATGAAGCATGGCAAAGAAGTGGCGTGGGACTGTCTTACCCTAAAAAGATGTGGCACCATCTTCTAGACAGTGTTCATGATTGTGTAAGATGTCCTCTCCAGCACTGTACTGTAGACATGTCAAGAATCATGGCAGATTACCCACCTTTCTCACATTACTAGACTCCAAGCTCCTGTATGACTGGAGCTAAATAATCTCATGATTACCCAGTACCTGTGCAGCTCCTGAGACAGAGCAGGGACCCCATTAACCCCTGGATGGATGGAATAATGAATAAACAAATGGATGGATGGATGATGGATGCAAAGATAATGGATGCATGGAAGGATAACAGATGGATGGCTGGATGAGTAAAAGGATGACAGATGGATGGATGATGGGCAGATGGACAAATAGATAGGATAGATGGATGGAAGAATGACAGATACGTGGATGGCTGGATTATGGACAGATGAACAGATAGGATGGATGGATGGACCAAGGGATGAATAGAAGAATAATGGATGGATGGATGATTGGATGATGGACAGATGGATAGATAGGATGGATGGATGGAAGGATGGCAGATAGATGGTTGGATGATAGGTGAATAGGCAGGATAGATGGAAGAATGGGTGGACAGAGGGAAGAATAGAAGGGTGATGAATGGACGATGGATAGATGAATGGGTAGGATGGATGGATGGCTGGAAGGATGGCAGACACATGAATGGCTGGATAATGGACAAATAGCCAGGATAGATGGATGAATGGATGGATGTATGGATATGGGTTGGACAATGGATGAATAAAAGGATGGCAGACAGAAGGCTGATGATGGACAGATGAAGAGATAGGATGGATGGATCAATGAATGAACGGGACAATGGATAAACAGAAGAATGATGGATGGATGGATAGTTGGATGATAGACAGATGGATAGGATGGGTGGATGGGAGGATGGCAGATGGACAGATGGTTGGATGAACAAACAGGTGAATAGGCAAGATGGATAGAAGAATGGGTGGACAGATGGAGGAATAGAATGATGATAGATGGATAGAGTGGATGGATGGCATATGTACCAATGGTTGGATGATGGAAAATAGCCAGGATAGATGGATGAATGGATGGGTGAATGAACAGGGAGATGGATTCATGGATATGGGTTGGACAATGGATGAATAAAAGGATGGCAGACAGATGGCTGAGGATGGACAGATGAACAGATAGGATGGATAGTTGGATAATGGACAGATGAATAGATAGGATGGATGGATGAATGAATGGGACAATGGATAAACACAAGAATGATGGATGGATGGTTGAATGATGGACAGATGGATAAGATGGGTGGATAGGAGGAGGGTGGATGGACAGATGGTTGGGTGGACAGACAGATGAATAGACAGGATTAATAGAATGGTGGAGAGATGAACAAAAGGATGATGGATAGATGGATGAATGATCGACAGATGGGTTAACAGATAAGATGGATGGATTAAAGAATGGCAGATGCATGGATGGTTGGATGACAGACAAACAGGATAAGTAGATTAATAGATGGGTGGATGGATGGATGGGTGAATTAATGGTTGGATGAGGGACAGACAGACAGATGGATAGGATGGATGGATGGAAGGATAGATGACCTTGTGTTAATCCTTTTTTAAGAATCCCGTAACACCACAAATCCCTGAAAGACTTCCTGTCAGTCTTTTCTGCAGCCCTCCCAATGTTTCTGAGGCCAGGCCTTAGAAATCTGGGGTCCTCACCAGGGTGACACTTCTAAGAATCATGTTGTGATGATCAAAGCAATGAGAGCATGTATGTGAAAGAACTTTGTGTAAGTCCATAGTGACAAATATCATTGTTAGCCATGCATGGCAGCTGGGATTGTCCAAGCTCAAGTTCCACAGAGGTTTCTCTCTAGTTGAGGAGGAAGCCCTGGTATAAGGAACCATTCTGGGCATATCAGGGAATGGGTAAATGCTCATATCAATCCCCTGAAAAATCACTCCTGGGCCCCCACCCAGTTCTGGGGTCCTCTGGCATCAAGCTGTTGTCCCCACCTAGTGACTGCCCTCCTGAATAACTGATCTGGGTAGTCTCTAGGGAACACAGGCACCAAATTCAGGTGCAAACTAGAAATATCAGATGTCTCAACCCCTAGAAGGTCCCCAAAACTTCTCTGTTCAGAAGCCACAGTACATACTCGTGAACTTTATGTGCAGCCTGCAAAAGGGGGAACACAAGCAAATGCAGATGAAGTCTCAACCTTTTTATTCAAAGCAGCTTCTCACAATGTATAAATACTGCATATTAGCACACATGAAAAATACAACTTCTAAGGCACCCAGAAATGTGTTCATACACGTTACAGGACCATTCACAAAGAGAGTGTACAATTTGCTCTAGACAGTCAGCATTTGATAAATCAGAAGATTATTATCCCTCAGTACTGCACCCAGTCTCAATAAATATTTACAACATGGTGAGAAGGGGTCAGCTGTACCTGCTTTATAATTCTATGAAGTACTCAGACTTACAAATATTCAGAACTAGATATAGACTCTCCCATGATAATCTGGCAAAATAAAACAAGTAGCCTAATTTTGCAAAGGTCTTGGTGGATTTTGGTGTGTGCGACATCCATGATCAAATCCAAACACTCCTAGGGTGAGCTGGATACGTTTTTGGTAGCCTGCTTCATTATCAGAAGTTTGGTAATAAGCCTTACCAATAGAATACCACATCTTCAGCATCCATCATTTCTCAACTGGTCAATGGATCAACGATTTCATCATGAATGAGAATGGAAAGCGAACTGAAGACAATTCTTCCCGTACCTAATAGGAATTAGAATGGGTCAATGAAGAACGAAAGGAGGCAGACATTTGGCAAGTGCAGGATCCTACTGTTCAGTATAGACACGTCTGAAAAATTCTTACCCTGAAGGTTCATGTTCAGATGGAACAGTCTACACTGGCCAGATAACCTGGAGGAATGCCAGACCTCCACTTCTATGATATGGATACAGGCTTGGGACTACACAGCAGAAACACCAACCTGAGATAGTGAGCTTCAATTAGAAACTCATCTTTCAGAGCCTTCTCAATATGACAACGAATCCCTCTGTATGGCCAGCCAGGGGGAGCATGAGGTTGGTGAAGTGAGCAGCTTCTCTGCACCATCAAGCATAAACATATCTGTCTAGATGTGCCCACAGTCTATGAAACTCAGGCTTTGTTACAATAATGGAATTCTTTGGTCCTCGGTTTTATGAAAGGCAATATTGTCACAATCCTGTCAACATCGACATTGGCAAATGACTTCAAGCTGAGACTAATGGCACAGGGACAAATTAAACACCAGATGGGAAACTCTATACTCTCCAAACCTCTAAGAGTCAACTTTAAGAGTTCCAGCATCAGGCTAGATGTTGGATCAATGAGATAAGGTTAAGCCGTAAAAACGCCCGAACCGAAGCTGAAAACTAGATATGGGTTTTTCTGACTGCCACACACGCTGCAAAAACTTAAAGCAAATCTCCATCTTAATAGCTGAAAGGCTGACTTTATAAACACGTACCAGAGATGAATCAAATAACTTGATTTTAGCCATAGGATCGCCCTGGACTACTGAAGTGTGGACAACCGAAAGGAAACACAATTTCTTTTTAAGTCTAAATTCTAGTTGGTTTTATTAAACCCCAAACACAGTAGACACACTGCCAAGGAGCTCCATGATTTATGTTCTATAAAAACAGCCCTGGGTAGACAGTTTCAGCTGATATATTATGTTCTACATCTCGTTTGCCTTTGTCCTGCTAAACTCCAGTTTAGTATGGCTTGATACACATAGTTCATTGATAAGACACTGAGGACACATGGGAATGCTGATTGTGTAACTAAAATCAACTTCAGATTGTCTACACAGTAAGACTCATAGGTAAACTTTGTTAACATCTCTCAAGGAGTGCTGACCTTACCCAGAATGGACGTTTCCAAGTCATCTACAAGGAATCTGGGGTCAACTGCCAGGGTCAGGAGCAGGAAATGTCATTTGTTTGGAACAAATGATGGACCAGCAGCCTTCCCTATGACCGTGTCTAAACCATGTTTACAGTATGAAGGTGGCTCTGGAAAACCAGTCCTTGGTCCATTCTTATGGCCAAAGACAATCACCAAGGTGCCTATCTGGTCCCTGCCGCCATCATCTCAATCAAACTCTTCAGATTAGCCATGAATTACAGACTGCATTCAGTCCGTCCACATGGCTTACACTGCATGGAGGAAACAACCCGTATTACCATTTTATTTTTTTTTTTTGCAACAAGCTTAAGGCTCTGTTCACAAACTCCATCAACTGCCACACAGTAAGAATTTATGGGGAGATCTTAAACTACTTATGTAGTTGCAAAGTTGAAAATTTTACTGATCCTAATGGTAAGGCTTATTCACAAATTCAATACATTTTGAAATTATACTTCAAACTCAATTACTTCGAAAAAAGATTAACCTGCTCTCCAACAATATAAGAGCATTATATTCTAATGAAAAAAACTGGCACCAAACCAGAATGCTATTTTTCGAAAGAACAAGTGATATTAATGAAAAATATTGCCTAAAACGCATATCCTAACATCACAGAAATATAAAAGTTTATATTTTGAAAATATATACTGTATTAAAGTCTGTAAGCATTTCAAACAAAATTTGCAGAAATAACTAAGCAACACTTATCTACAACAAAAATATACATGCAAGACAACCCCAAATGTTTCCCTTAAATATCTACAAAGTGTAGATTTTTAGATTATACAAAACCATTTACAGAGAATAAAATAAAATACTTAAGAAATCTCATTTCTTAAATACTGTGTATATTAGTGAGAGTGTCTAGACTAATATATACAACAGATCTAAGTGTCTGAATACAGAAAAACAGAACAGAAGCAACTCTGCAATTTAAATATTCACTTAAGAGGATTTGAAGATGTTTCTATTCGTTTCTCTCTGTTAAAAAATTTCCACAGAAACTAGACTGGAAAATTTCATGGATGTGACTAAATTTGAAATTTTAAAAAAAGTTTACAAAATTTTTTAAACCAACAATAATGGGAAATGCAATTCAGCATTCAGTGAAGGCTATTTTTAAATGTGGATATTCAGAGATACAGTTGCATTGTTCAAAGTCTATTGTGATTATTATTTTTCCATCCTTATACTAAACTTCACATGGGAAAAACAGTTTCATGCTTCAGAGAGAACATTTCCTAGTTTAATCTATACCAAACAAGAATAATATTTTAAGTCAATTCTCTACTACTTTCTCACAGCTATCCAATGTCATTCTCAGACAGTGACTTGGATGGCCGTTACCGACAGACATTACTTCTATGCTGGAAGGGGCACGTAAGTACATCAGCATTAGGCTGTGTCTTCCAGACGGTGCTGAGGTCTGACCACCTTAACAAATGTTCTGCACAAAGTCCTCTCGGGACAGGGCTGTTAACTCAGATGGTCCCATGAGATGCTAGGAGTGAGCCATCGTTGAGGTTAGGGAAGAGAGGGAAGGAGAGTTCCACTGCATGGCTAACAGGATGGGAGGGAGTGGATTGCTAGAAAGGCCCTTGACTAAAGAACCGCCCTCAATTGCCCACCCACAGCTATTCTTCCAAACCTAAAGGTAATTGCAGGACAGGGCTGCCAAGATGAGCTGCAGTTCCTTAAAGACCCGCCCAGGCTCTTGGGAGTGACTTACGAGAGAAGGTAGGGGAAATGCTGGAGAGAGGGGAGAAATGATCCCTTAGACAGAGAGGGGGCCCTAGGTTGGAAGATCAAAAATGCAAGTCTGAGCCCTATCTCAGAAAAGCTATTAGGATAAACCCTGACACAACCAGAGGTCTGGTCTTTTCCATTCCAGATCGATTTGCTGTAAGTTACCTGGAATTCGCCTACACATTGTCAAAACAAGTACCCCAAAAGTGAAAAATTCAGTCTACCCTGCAGCAAACAGATTGCTCCCACTTTCACCCAATACTGACTATATGCAAACAACCAAAATACAGATTTCCACCACCCTGTTACACCCAGGAGCCAGGAATTAACAAGCATGAATTCCACCTCAGGAATGGTTTCATATTCCTGCCTTAATCATCAGAGATCCCCGAAATGTTCAGCAGTTTCGATTTGATAACTCATCCAAACCTGAAACGTTTCTGGTTCTCTCAAGCAGGGAACAAAGGTGGACACTGATCTAAAGGAATTTCTAAACATCCCTTCCATTTTCAAGGAGAATCTTGACCCCGCTTCAACAGCTGTTGAATATAACTGCACCCAGTCAGAAGCTCAACAGAAATGAGGAGGCTCTTTCGAACAAGAATTTAGCAGTATGAAAACACTAACTGCCAGAACATACAAGAACCAGGTTCAACTAAGTGTTTTGGCAAGTTCACATTTGCTTTCTCAAGGGAAACAAGGTAGAGCTTGGAGACAAGAGGAATCCAGGTAGAGCTGCGACAACAGGCATTTGGGCAAAAGCATGTGTCTCCCTATAGTAACTCCCTGTAGGGCAGGTCGGCAGTCTTTATAGGATCCACATGGACAAAAAGAAGATGCAAAGGACTTCAATTCCATCCTCCTCTGGCTGAAGGAGAGGTTTCCCCTCCTTCCCAACCCTCACAAACTCTTAAAGGAGAAAGGCTTTGCAGGGAGGGAACCAAGGTCATCAGAAGGACCAGCAGTACAGATAAACTTGAGGGTCACTGCTTAAAAACCATGTCTCTAGATCTAGTGTAGACAATCAACCTGTTCTTTGAAACTCAGAGCTCAGGGCCACAAATATATTGCATCTGCCCTGCCCAGTGCACCCAGTCGCCTGGAGAAGAAGTGAAAGGACCACAGAGAGTTAAGAGAACTGTCACCAGGACTCTCTTCTGAGCCTGCTTCACCTCCACCACCTGTGCCCACCTCTTGCTGGCTTATTCCACTCTCTCCAAAGAAGGGCCAAGAAAGGCTGGTGCCCAACAGGAAATGGGAAGAAGGGGAGGGCCAAGGGCCTCCAGGAATACTCATGGGCTGTGAGGGAAATGGGAAAAAAATCCCTTCCTCCTGAGAATCTGAGAATCTACATTTCTCTGGCTGCTTGACCCATGGTTTAAATCTCATGCAGAACACACCCCTTCCATTTGTCTGCTCCCAACTTGAGGTTTATATTTTTCCCCTCACCACCCAAAACCACAATCCCAAACCCTTCCTTTTCTGTAGCTTATCCTGGGACTTGAGTCTGATGGTCTAACACATGTGCTGGAAGCCCCTTGCAGCCCAGGGGCACTGGGGCAAGGAGGTCTCATCCCTGGTCATTGCTCCTTATGTGTATAAAAAACTAGAAAAAAAGATGGGTCATTTCAGCTTCTGGGGGAAAAGAGTCAGACCTCCAGACAGCTCAGCAGAGCGGGAACTCTTCCCCAACTCCCTGGGAGGCCAATACCAGAAATCACTGATCACATGGAAGCAAAAGACTGCAGAATCCAACTTCAGTCATTTGCCCCAAAGAAAAAAGTCTTACTCTAGATAGACAATATGCTATTTCCAGGTAGGGCCTGTCCCCGCCCCTTCCCGACATCACACAATTAGGGGCTGGGTCTGTTTCAAGATCATTCAGGCTGAGAGGGTCCTTTATTTCCTTAAAGACAGCAGAGGGAAGAGAAGACTCTCCCAAGACATCTCCGGAGGACAAACCTAAGGAACTAGTATAATATTATTACAGCTGAGAGTCGTTTTACACACAGAGGTGCAGCGCTATTCCTTCTGTCCACAGAAATCCTTCTGTTTTCATCTCTCTGAACTTTATTTCTGCATGGCTCATTGCTAGAATGCACCCAACGGCATGAACCTCGTGTGGGATTTGGTCCAGGGCAGTATGAAAATAGTATCTGTGTGAACAACAGACATCACAATATATAAACAAAAATAAATAAATAAAATAAGTCCAAGGAAAGAGAAAACATTTCCCTAGTAGTTTGTTTTTGCAAAACTAGCTTTACATATAATACACATAAATTATCAGAATTTCCACTTACATTGTTTTAAAAATATATATTTAACAAAACATTTCTAAATGTACAATATCTGGGTTTGTAAATCACTCAACCGGGTTTTAAGACCAAGCCCTAATAATCACACAGATTTGCACTGGAGGGAGACCGAAGCCAGGTGTGCACAATCGTTTTGCTCATTGGTCTGGAAATTCCCTAAGATAGGTCGTCCTCTGACACCCGATCTAAATACAACCAGAGAGAGCCTTGACGGCCAAGTCTCCAGGTCAGAGGCACTGTCTAGACACAGCCTGAGTCAGAAGAATGGGAAAGTGGTCTTCCCCTTCCTGGACCGGGATGGTGCATTTCAGCAAGTGAGGAAAGGACAGCAGTGCTTGGCGGAGCCCTGGGAAGATACAGCCCTGGAGAGCTCTCTGTCCAGGTAGGGCAGGGATGTGGGGGAGGCCAAGTATGCTGCGTTTTCCACCCATTACACAAAATCAAACCAATGAGGAGCAACCAAAGGACACGAGGAAATGGACACAACCCTAGGCATAAAGAGACACCTCAACAAACTCCTTGGCCGGGGCAGACGCTGTGCTTCGGTTTCCGAAACACAGGGCAGAGTTAGAAGTTGAGGGCCCATTAGCTAGGACCCCTCAGACTTCATAAATTTTGTCCTGCAGGTAGCTGAACAGGGAGTCCAGGCCTTTGGAGGAGCTCCAGAGCTGCTTGAGCATGAGGCATTCCTTCTCATTCACGTCTTCCAGCACCGATTTCAGGAAGCTCCGCACGAGGCATTTGGACTCCTCTAACACCTGGAGGGAGACAGACAGGCCTGTTAGCTGGGCACTGGTGACTCTGCTCCAGAACTAGGTACCTGGCCCATGGGGCACTGGTCAACCTCCCATACTCGAAGCCAATGAAGGCTACCTCCTTCAGCCTGGGCCTTCCCAGTCCCATGTTTCTAGCATGGCCATGAATGGATCCCAGATGTGTCCAGACATGGAGCCCTGAGGCCCCGGGATGGCTCAGTGAGGCCCGGATCACTCCAGACCACTTGGCTGTTACCCAAGGGTGCCACAAACACAGAGTCCTTTCCTATAAGCATCATGAAAAAATGTAGGAGACACTGCTTTAACCTCCCTGTGATTTATCTTCATGATCTGTCAGCAATAACTCAAGGATCAAGGAGAACACAGAGTAAGACAATGAAATGAATGAATGGTTATCACAGTATCATACAACCCTCCCCAAGAGCAATGCCCCGTGTTCAGGTCACACAATGAAATGAATGAATGGTTGTCACAGTATCCATACAACCCACCCCGAGAGCAATGTCCTGTGTTCAGGTTACAGTGGTAGTCATCATGGTAGTGACAAGTAACAGTACAGCTATCACCATCATAATAATTACAGTAGGGAGTAACAATCGTGGGAATGAATAGTAATCATCACGCACAGTAATCATTGTAGTAATGAGTAATAATGATCACAGTAATCGTGGCTATAAACGGAGTAGCTGCTGTCAACAGCTATGACAAATGATCACAAAGGATCTGTGATTATTCACTATAGTATTCCGTATATATAATTATATATTATATACATGGAAACACATGTATATACATAATATGAATATATTATGTATCTATATATTATATATAATACATACACACTGTGTATATAATACATGTCTGTGTATATATTGTATACACAGACACATGTACATACAGTCTTATTCCCACAGTGTTATTACTATGATGATTACTACCATACTGTGATTATTACTCATTATGATGATGATGATGGCAGTAATCCATCGTCATAGTAATAAGTAATGATCATCTTAATAGTGAGCACTATCCACAGTGATAGAAATAGTAATCATAGCAATGAGCAATAATCACACTAATAGTCACAGTAATGATCAATAATCATAGTAACAAGTGTAATAATAATCATAGCAATGAATGACAATCATAAGAGTAATAAGCACAGAAATGAGTAATAATCATGGTAATTACAGTAATAATCATAGCAGTGGGCAATGATCATAGTAATAAGCAATAATCATAGTAACAATGGTAATAATCATAGTAAGTAAAAAAATCATAGTAGTAATAGCAATACTAATCATAGTAATGAGTAATAATGACTGTAGTAACATTTGTAATCGTAACTGTAATAATGCCACTATGATCACCATTAACCAACAGAATCTGAGAAGTACTTTTCCTGAATTCTCTCATTTACTTCTCATGATAAGCCTGCAAGTAAGTAGTCTTTCTGTCCCCATGTTACAGGTTTACAATCCAAAGCTCCATGACGTAAAGTGGCCCAGGGCTGCCCGACTACTGGCATGGTGGAAAGAGCAGAAAACCTTGTCTGGCTGATTCCAAGAGCCACACAGCTGCTTCCCTCCACCAGAGGCACATCCAGACGTGAGGCCTTCGAGCATCCTTTGCTGGCCTCCACCAGCCTCTCCTGAAATGCCCTCAAACAGAAAGACACAAAGACAGCAGGTCCCTGGCTCCAGCAGGCTAGAAGGGGCTGCAGCCTCATTTCCCAGCCTGGGCTGGAGGCTGCAGGTGGTGGGATGAACTGTCAGACTCGGCTGCCTCTTTCCCCCTGGAGTGGCCCCAAAGAGGAGCATCTCCTAGAGGCCATGGGCTTCACTCTGGTGGATAGTTCCTTTCTCAGGAACTGCCCCCAGCACTCCTTAACTGACAGCTGTTGGCAGCAGAGATGTCCTTGCAGTATTCCTTGTCCTGAGAGCCTGCCCACTCAGGTGTCCTTCAACAGCTGGTTTCACCTAAGCATCTCTCCCCTGCCACAGCACAGGCCAAACTCCTTCCTATAGCTCCCAGGCCAGACTCCCACCCTCCTTTTCAGCGGCGTGGTTCCTAGCATACCAGTGCTACCTGACTGCATGCTGCTGCCTAAGCTTCCCGGGGATTTCTGACTCTTGCTGCTTCCTCTGCTTAGAATTTCTACCTGTGTCTCCATGAAGCTGATCTCAGGGTGATCAAGCACCCCTGTTTGCTCAGGACTAAGAGGGATATGATTTGGCTGTGTCCCCACCCAAATCTCATCTTGCATTGTAGCTCCTATAATTCCCACATGTGGGAGGGACCCGATGGGAGATGAATGAATCATGGGGGCAGTTTCCCCCATACTGTTCTCCTGGTAGTGAACACATTTCAAGAGATCTGATGATTTATAAGGGGTTTCCCCTTTCACTTGGTTCTCACTTCTGTCTTGTCTGCCACTGTATAAGATGTGCCTTTCACCACAATTGTGAAGACTCCCCAGCCACGTGGAACTGTGAGTCTATTAAACCTCCTTTTCTTTAGAAATTACCCAGACTCAGGTATGCCTTTATCAGCAGTATGAGAACGCACTAATACAATGGGGTTTCCTGGGATTCAGGATTTTTAGTCCTAAAACCAGGAGAGTCCCAGACAAGGTGGGGCAAGTTAGTCACCCTAGTCATTAGCAAGCTTAAGAGAGAATCCATGTGAAGAAATCAGCAACACCCTCGGCCCATGTGAGTGTTCACTAACAAGGTGGAGACCACCCCCCACCTATCACCATCACCCAAACAGGACTGTTCAGCTTGCCAGGGGCAGGGCTTAAACACAGTAAGTGACAATATATGGGGATGAGGCCCAGCAGGAGAAGCAGGACAGCTGGGTGTGAACACAGGCAGAGGGAGAGAAAAAAGGGAGGGGCAAAAGTGTTGCCCCAGAAATGCACCCAGCAGCTCCCTGTTTCTCAAGCACAGAGAGAGTCCTCAAGTCTCAATCTCCCAAAACGCTTCTCTGAGCTCTGGAACCAGCCCTGGGGCTGTAGGAGTGGCCTTGTCTCCACCTTCCCACAGATTATTCCCCTGCTGTGCTCCGAGTCACGGTTATGAGATAAAATCAACACTTAATTAAAAACCAGTGCCTCTGCGGAGGTGTTATTTGTTTATGTATTTTTCAGTGCGTCTTCAAACAGTGACATTTCAATGTGCCGAGCAGTCGGGAGAGAAAAGAAATGAAATAAAGGCCCGCGTATACAGCTTTCTCTAGTCATCTCTGGATGGGTTCAATACTTTTTGTCCTTACTTGCCTTTGCTTCCCGTTTCTTTGAAAGCTGCAGATGTTTCGTGCTTTTGCGGGTGTTTAGGACTTACTTTGAAAGCAGTGACTCTACCCCAGAGTATCCATCTCTCCTGTGAGGCTTCTCTGCCCAGAGATGATGGAGAATATGTAATACTGCTGACTGGCTCCCTCAGAATGAAGCTGTCAGTACCGAGAAAAGGCCTTTGTTAAACTGCAAAGGGTCTTTTGCTTATTCCCTCTGTGCAAGGCCCTCTGAGCCTTGCTGTCCTCATCCGTACAATGGGTCTATCTCAAGGACAAGCACGCGGGAGACACGGGAACTCACCACGGCACTACAGGCTGCCATCTCCTTGACCCGCAGCATCACCTCCTGGCTGAATGTGGTGGGCCAGAAGACCTGCGACACCAGCCCCCTGCTGCAGGCCTCCTGGGCGGTGAGCTTCCGCCCACAGAACAGCATCTCATTGGCCTGAAAAAGCAAAGCAGGCGAAGACTGAGGGCCTGGAGGTCCACCCACGTCCCTCAGTGGGTCCAGGGCTTGCCACCTGCAACCATCCCTGTTCTGGGAAGCATCTGGTCTTCCAGATCCTTATTTTATTTTGGGATAAGACGAGATTTGGAAATTTCATAGAAATGTTTGTGTCCATGTGTATTTTTCTGAGCTTTCGTTAATTTCCCCAAAGGACGTCTGTATTTACTGTGACTCTGCATGCCTCACCCCCCTCCCCATTTCGGATGGCAGACACAAGGGCATGGGTTGTAGGCTGGGTACACTTCAGAGCCCATGACCCAGCCATGATGACATCACTGGCACCGAAATGTACCCAGCCCACAACAGCCCAGGGATAAAGAGACGCTCCCCCAGATAATAAAGCTCAAGGGGGGTTTCCAGCTGCAGGTGTGGTAGAGGAGTCTTTCTTCATCTCTGATTGAGGTAATTCTGCAGGTAATTCAGAATCAGACCATCCTAGGTAGAGTAGGGTGTCCCTGGTGAAGACCCATAAAATTAACCAACAACCCCCTCTAGGGCTAAGAAAACAAGAACATAAACAGAGTTTAGTCACAGACGCACGACTCTGGGCAAGTCACAGTGAGCCCAAGGCTAACATCCCCGAGCCCAAGGACCATCCACGGCTGTGTCCTGCCTGTGGAGAGGTGGGGCCACAGGGAAAGGAGAAATAGGAGGAGAGAGAAAGATGAAGAAAAGGAGAAAAAGAGAGAGAGACCTGATGGTACTTGAATTCCTGGGCCCTATCTCCCCAAGGGAACTGCCACTTCTGGACTTTCCAGCTGGGAGATCCATTAAGCTCCTTCTTAAAAAATTAAACTGGTTAAAGCATTTCCATCACTGGCAGCTAAAAAGGTCCTGAATAACACCACAATACCAAGGCAGAGAGGCGCATCTCTCCCAGTGGCTCAGGACTGACCAAGGGCACTGCCCAGTCATGAAGGGCAGAGACCAGCCTTCCCTGGGCACTGGTGACCTGAGCTATCTTGGTACCACACTCCCCAGAGAACTTCCTTTTGCTTTGAAATTTGCAGCTGTCATATAAGGTCTGAGAGGAGCTCCACAGATGAGGTCCTAGGCACAGACAGAGAACGTGGTAGTATAAGCTGCAACTTGCAGACAGTGCCTGATAATCAGGGCGTAATGGTCACATCCAGGTGATAGAGTCCGCACAGCTGACAATGCCATCCATATCTGCCATCCACCTGCTTCCCCACACTCTCTTCTCCTGCCTCTATGTGCTAGCTCCTCTTGGGCTGGTGTTAAAACGTCAGGCATTCTCAGACCTCCAGAGCTATGTGTAAGATCTTCTACTTAGTCCTGGTCGGCACTGATGGGTCATGATGTCCCAGAGGACAATCATCTTTTATGTTGCTAATAAGCCTTGCTTGCTTATGTTATATATTTTTGCTTGCTTAGTTATAGATTTGAACACAAAGGCCATGATGCTTTCTGAGGAACACCTCAGTCAAATGAACTCAGTAGAAGGTCACTGGGAGAAGTGGCAACTGGCTATGTCTGCTCCAGTGAACCTGGATTCAGATCCGCTGGCAGCTATGCCCTGGCAGGTGCAAGGTACAAGGTGAGGCCTCCATTCATACAGAAAGGCTGCTGGTCACCCTTGAGATACCACACTCTGTGGTGCCGTCTTTCAAGAGAACTTAAGAGTATTATCCAGAAACGTAAGGACTCAGAGAGGAAGGAGATTCTTGGTCAAGGTAGGGTGACCCTGGTGAAGACCCATAAAATTAACGAACAACCCCCTCTAGAGCAAAGAAAACAAGAACATAAACAATTTAGTCACTGATGCGTGACTCTGGGCAAGTCACTTAACGTCAAAAAGCCTCAATTTTCTCTGCCATCCAAGAGGTATAATGACAGCACCAAGTTCCCGGCACAGAGGCGAGATTAACTGAGGGGTGCTTAGAACAGGGACTGGTATGTGCAGAAGGGGCAGCAGAAATTTGCTGTTTTTGTTATGGTTGGTGATGTCATTTTCGAAACGGAACAAGGAGGAATATTAAGGAAGGAAAAGGGACACTGCTTATCAGCCTAACTATTATAACAAAAGTAGGACTTGAGAGATGGGAAAAATGGGCTTGCAGGCCCTCTGATGAAAACCACAGGATAGGGAGCTACAAAGGAAGACAGGGAAGGAGTCCAGTGTAAAAAGGAAGACGGGGCAGGAGTCCGGTGTGAAAAGGAAGACGGGGCAGGAGTCCGGTGTGAAAAGGAGGACGGGGCAGGAGTCCGGTGTGAAAAGGAAGACGGGGCAGGAGTCCGGTGTGAAAAGGAGGACGGGGCAGGAGTCTGGTGTGAAAAGGAGGACGGGGCAGGAGTCCGGTGTGAAAAGGAGGACGGGGCAGGAGTCCGGTGTGAAAAGGAAGACGAGGCAGGAGTCCGGTGTGAAAAGGAGGACGGGGCAGGAGTCCGGTGTGAAAAGGAGGACGGGGCAGGAGTCCGGTGGAAAAAGCCCACCCTTCCACAGGTGCATGTCCAGATGCAACAGTCACAGTCCTAAGAATGTACCACACTGCCTGAAGAGCATGAGAGGGAGGCCAAAGGCTGGGTGTTCACCCTCTGATAAAATCAAGACACCAAAAGAAATCCTGGAGTCTCCCCCTTAAAAGGAATAATTCACAATAGCTGTGGGGCCACCATCGGCTGGAAGAAGCCACTCTGCAGGGCCCGGGAGGCAGCACTCGGTTTTTCCTCTGGGGTTACAGGGTTTGACTCCGTCACCCAGGACATGCTTCTCTGACAGTTTTGTGAGGTCTCCTGTGACCTAAGGTGTCTGCTAGCAGATGCCACCAGTGGACCCCTGGCAGACCCTGCTGAGGTGGGCATAACACAGAAAGCCCAGCACCCTCCCTGGCATACCAGGCTTGCAGGGGCCAGCCATATACACTGCCATGGCCTTGTCCCTTGCCCTCTCCCCATTGTCCTCATCAGGCCCCACTGACCTGATCACTCTCAACCCAGGACCGACCAGGCCCACTCCCCGCTCCATCCCCCACTTCATGCACCCTCTGCCTGGAATTCTTGCGTCCACTCAAATGTCACCTCCTCAAAGGGGTCCTCTCTGAACAAGGTGGGACCTCCTTTCAAGACACTGAGCTGGGGAACAGATCTGAGGATCAGGGGCTTTTGTTCATCCCTGGACTTCTGGTGGGTGCAGAGAGTCTGGCACTTTGTAGATTTGCAGCATTTGAAGAAAGGGAGGGAAAAAGGAAGATGACTGGCTAGAAGAGGGGACTCCCTGAGAACCTTCTGAGATCCAGCTTGGACCCATGCTTATGAAACAAGGATTAGCCCATCAGAACGGAGTTCAGAGTTCATGGTTACTCTGAACAGCAGAGAATTCTGAAGAGTCCACATGGGAGGACCCATCAAAGGAAGCCCAGACTCAGCAGCATGGTGCCTCCAACGCCTACACGGACCAGCTACACATTCTGAACCCCTCCCTGGGGTTCAGAATCGGCTAATCTCAGACTCACCCCTCAGCTGTGGGACCTGTTTAGTAACATGCTGTGTTCAGAGCACAGTGGAACCAGCCGGTTGGTGCTGAAATCCCACTGCCTGCCTTCAGACAACCCACTAAGCCTCTCTAGCCTGAGTCTCCACATCCACAAAATGGGGATCACAGCTGTCCTGCCTCACAGGGCTGTGGACTGCGTTGACAGCCCAGACCAACACACAGCAAGTGCTTCCTACGTGCTAGCTGTCATCACTGCTCTCTCCGGTCCCGACTCGCTTCTGGATGTTGGTGCAGAATCTGACCACAGCTTACGGTGGGCTCTGCTGCCTCCATGGCACAGCAACTCTGTCTGCCGCACCTGGTGACACAGCTAACTTCCCTGAGCTTAATGTTCCACCTATAAGATGGAAATTGCAACCATTTCCACACGGGGTGGAGACTACTTTGTGTTCACTGAATCCTTTCCCTTTTGTTGCTGGACATGCGCTGGGCTACATCTTCCAGCCTCCCTCACAGGCACATGTGGCCAGAGGCTGAATCATGGCCAACGGCACATGAGTGGAGGTAAAGATGCCTCTGCAGGCCTGGCCCGTGAAGCCCTCCTGCATGATGCTTCTGTCTCCCTCTTCTCTCCCACTGGCTGGAAGTGAGCGCACATCTACCGGATGGGGGCACCTGGCTCCCCAGACAGCGTGGGTGGCTCCTACACGTATGCTGGGCCATGCAAAGGTAAGAAGGAAAGTTTTGTTGTTCAAGCCACTGAGACCCTGTTATGGCACCCAGCTGACCCTAAGACATGCCTGCAGGAGGCTGGAGCGAGGAATAATTGAGACAGCATGCAGAGTGCACAGTCCATACACTGACCTCATTGCCATCCTCTCTAGCCAGGCTACTCCGTCTGGCACTGATGGTGTGGAGGATCTGAGGCAGTCCGGCTGATCCTCAGGCTGACAACATCCTCGGGTTTCTAGCCCCATGCATACCCTAAACTCAAGGCAGAGGTAGGATCTTGCCGGGGCCCGAATCCCGGTATCACAGGAGGCTTACCAGTGCGACGCCCAGGATCTGGGGGAAGGTGTAGGAGGAGCAGCCAGCAGGCGTGAGGCGGATGGTGGCGTAGGGAGTCTGGAACCAGGCCTTCTCACTGGCCCACACGATGTCGCAGAGGGGCAGGATGGAGGCACCCAGGCCCAGGGCTGGCCCATTGATGGCCACCACGATAGGCTTCTTGAACTGGATAAAGGCCTTCACAAAGTCCCTGGGAGAGAGAGAAGACCCTCTTGAACAGGTGACCACAGCTTGCCAAGCCCCACCGGAATATCTGACTCTCCCAGGTGCTGTGATGCACTCTCAGGTCGTCAGAGGTAAGAGGTGCCAGGCAAGGGTCTCGCTGTCTCGACACGGAACCACCAGCCGTCAGGTTTTCTCAGGTATACCGACGGGGTCGCTGCACGTCCTGGTTTGCTCAGACTGCCCCAGTTCATGCCCCATGTCCCAGAACTGCACCCAGTTACCATCTGCTTCCACTTGCAAAAGCCATGGCTTAGAGAGTAAGTTATACGGACACCCTGGATATTGACAGAATTTGTATATATCCTGAGGAAGTTAACCGCAATGTTAAGGTGGAGAATCAGAACCAAACGGCAGGTGTAACAGGGAGGCATATTTCAACTCAGAGAGAGAAAGAACGTTCTAACATCTCCAGTTGAAGGTGAATGGGGTGGCTTTGTCAGGTATGAATTCCTCATTCCTGGAGGTATCTACATTTCAGCTGGATGATTATGCTGGGTGGTGCCATAGAGGGACTTCATGCTTCAATGGTGGGTACCTTTTGGGATTGATGACATTTAAAATTTCTTTCAAAAATCAGTCCTAGGATGGTCTGATTCTGAATTACCTGCAGGGATGCCAGAGTCATCAATGGTGGTTCTAAAATGCTGATGGCAGTCGACGTGTTAGCATGGCTCTGACTAAAACTGGGCCACCTGTAGGCAGGAGCTGGAATCATGGCTAGAAGACTGGGAAGAATTTTCTCTCCCTGCCCTTCTGCACTGAGCAAGGGATCTTTACTAATTAAGCAGAGCTATCAGCAATGACCTCTGCTTCCTTTGCCTTGGAGGGCTTTTTGCCTTTTCCTAGTGCTATGTAAGATCCATAAAATTTTAATATTCATCTGGACATGGAGGAAAGGTCCACGATGTCTAGTAAAGTCTGCATCCTTCATTACTCTCAGAGAGATTAGAAACTACAAGAACTCACAAGATTAAATTTAAATGCCCATAACCTTGGTCTGACCTTCGCCTGCCTCAGTTTATCTCTCCAGGCTTCCCTCACATCACTCTTGCCCCTGCTCATAGTGCACGAGCCACATAGGCCGCTGAGAGTTCTTAGAATACAACAATGTCACAATTTGCAATCACCTTAACTAATTATTTGCTTGTTTTTAGATTCTTCTTTCCCTTTAGCTCCTTAAGGACACCCAGAGGTCTGCCCGGGGCACTGCCTGGCTTCCATCAATATTGGAACTAGCACTCAGTAAATAGCTGTTTAACAAATACATGAGTCTGCCAGAACAAGAGCAAAGACTGCACAGGTGAGGCAATGACGAACCAGCTCTTTGCCAAATCTATTTTCCCTATTCTTCCTGGGTCTACTGGCCAACCACATTTCCCAGCTCCAAATGCATGTGGATGTGGCCAAGTCCGCAAGTGCTGTCCAAACAGAATGTGAGCAAAAACCCACAGGTACCACTTGCAGGTGTCCACTTCTTCCATCTTGATGAACATGGCGGTCTTGGAAGACATTTGCTGAGCCACAAGATGGAAGAAGTCAGATTCCTGAGTCACCATTGGGAAAACAGCTGTAGGCTGATGGTGACACCTCTTTTAGGTTTATGTATATGAGAAACACATTTCTATCTATGAGGTTTATTTGTTACAACAGCTAATACTTAACTAATACATATGTCAGGCTGCTTTATCCCTTCTCAATCAATACTGTTCCTTCCCCCAACTCTTACCAAAAGTTGTGGTTATCACAGTGATGTACTAGGATCAGATTCAACTGTGAGAAGCCTGCTTAATGTTCTGCTGGGGTAGGAGGTATCTTATGATCTATGTAAGTCATTCATGAAAGTATGCACCTCTGACTCAGGCTTGAGGCTTCACACTGCTTGAGATGGTGGTATTACCTCTCAGTCCCTGCTGGCCCCCAAAAGGCACTACTTCAGAGAGGGAGTCCTGACTCCATGACTTGGGATGCTTGGTATTCCAGCGGCCCGTCTCCTGGCATCATTCACTTCCTAACCCAATGGTTAGGTTTTAGCTTAGGTCACCGGTTTTTGCAAGTGCTTTTCACTGAAAGCAATTTGCAGTCTGCAGGGGATATGAACTTCTTTGCACAATCCCAGGAGGTTTGGGTGATTTTTGTCAAACATCCCCTTTATACAATTCCAGAATCTTAGATCTCAGAGGTGGGAAGGACTTCAGGACTCATGAAGCTGTATCTTCCACTCGGTGCAGAATTCCCTCCGTTAACAGTCCAAGGATGCATCATTCCACCTTTGCTGGATATTTTCAATAAAAGGGGCTCCATGCCTGTCAAGATAGCCTCCCTGTCCTGGGTATCCTGTAAGCTTCTCTGATACTGTCACCACCTCGGCTTCATCCACCACATGACATCCTTCAGGCATAGACTGCAGCCCTTATGACTTTCCAGAGTTTTCCCCTGCAGGACCCCAGATCCTTTCACTCTGTGGTTTCCAGCCTGAGATCCGTACAGGGGAATCAGGGACACAAGGGAAAGGGGACCAGGCATACAGAGCTCTGACACTCCACCCCAGCCCCTCCTGCTTCATTCAACCTGCCTCACACTTCATTTCCTTGATGTGAAAATGTCACCTGACATTTAATGAAGGCCACCCCCATCTTCTTTCTCTCACCTCGGGCTGTAGATCTCTATCACAGGGAACCAACAGCAAACAGGATATTGCATTACAGGCCCTGCAGCTCAGATATCTGATCCTGGTGCGATGGCGGGGCTGCGTGGGGAAGACTGTACGCCACCTTCCCCCACGTCCAAGGCCATCAGGCTGACCTGGCCCACGCAGCTTCCTCTGCTCTACCCGAGCCTTGTGGCTTGTACCTGACAAAGCTGCTGGGCTGCATGGCTGTGGCAGAAGGAGCCAGAACTTCAGAATCTGAAAAACTCGGAGAGAAGACTCAGTTCTGCTTCTAACTAATGGTGAGACCTTGGACAAGTTGCCTGGTCTCTGGAGCCTCATTTTCTCCCTTTGTAAAATGGGAAAATCAGTGACCTTGTGCCATGTAAGCAGTGGAATAAGAATGAAAGGAGAGGGTCCATGCACAGCACTAGCCCAGGGCTGACACGCAGGGAGCACTCGATTCCTGCTGCTATTACTATGGGTAGTGCACCTGCTGGGGAGGGTGGACACTGTCTTCATTCGATTTTCAGATTGGTCTGTGATCCATTCTCCTAGGCTACAGGAGACCCAAATACTGCTCATGGGAATGGTTCAATTTCCCCCAGAGCAATTGGCATTTGTCTTGAGACCCAGTAACCCACTCCCTTTGACCAGAGCCATAGAGGAGAACCTTCCCCCAACCAAAGTTCAGATCCAAGTCAGCCCACAAAGGACTGAACAGTGACTGCCATACTAGGGTCCTCAGAGAGGTCCCCAGCAGGCCACTCCTTAGTCTCTAACTCACCCCTTGGTCCAGGCACCCACTCCCTTGTCTTAGAATCAGCTTAGCTAGAAATCATGGCTGGAAGTGCCAATCGCAGTGACAAAAACTGTAATAGTAAGTCCAAGTATGTATTATGTGGCAGGAATAGCCCAAGTGTTTCACATGGAGTATCTTTTTATTCTTCATCCTACGAACCCACCAGGGAGGCCAGTACCATCACTTTGACTGTTCTCATTTTCTGGATGAGCTAATAGGCTCAGAGAGATCAGTGACTTACTCAAGGCGGCACCACCAGCAAGTGGAGAGGCAGGTGTGGGCTCAGGCAGCCTGCTTCCAGGTGCCACGTGAGTAGCTGCTAGCCCACACTGCTTTCCTGAATTCCACGCTTGAACAAGCCATCTTGTCACCTACAAGTTCAGAGGAGGCAGCCTCTCTTCAGGATGGATCCTGGAGGGAGGCTTCTGAACAAATCACCTGAGCTCTCCCCAAATCTGCTGGTTCATTCGTCAAACATTTGCAGAGTGATGAGCCCCAGTCACCAGTCCAGGTCACATATGTCCAAGTTTTCTTTCAGCAAGGATGAGGATGGGGTGAGAGTACCACTCACAGGGTGCCAAGGCCACGCAGCACGCCCGGTCAGCCCTGCCAAAAGCGTGTCCCAAGAGAAGAGATGGGGGCAAAAAAATGTTTCTGCCCTGCTAGATTCTGAAGGAAGTTCTTTCATAAGAGACTTCTTCTAAGTATGCTAATACACCTAGAAAATCCGTAGGAGCGGGCACAGAACGTGCAGCAGGAATCAAACTCCTTTCAATGACAGGGCTCTTCCCTCAGGACGCTCCTCTGGAAATCCACCAAATGTCCTTTGCAGAATGCTTTGCTGACACCTCGTGTCCCCAACTCCAGAGCGTTGCCTCCAAAGGAACGCTCCAAAGCTGGGAGAGCTTGAGATGCCTCAAAAGAGTTTGGCGCTGATGGGCGAGCGACAGTGTCTTTCTAACTCCGGGGGCATTTGTCGCTACACGGTCACATTTTCTGCACCTCCATCCATCTTCACCTGTGGTTCTCACCTTTCTCATGCCTGTATCACCTCCTTCTTCACCCTCATCTCCTTAATAACCACCTTTTCTCTCTTGCATACAAATAGAAATCTTGTGTTTCTCTTAGTGCTCTCAATCAGTGGTGCAGAAATCTCGTTAGCACAAGGTGGGTGTTCTCAACCCTGGCTGCACCTGAGAACCACCAAGGAAGATTCACATCCAAAGATGTGCTGGTCCCACCCCAGCCTAAATAACTTGGAGTCCCCTAGGGGTGCTGCCAAGCATGTGGGTCTTAGAAATGCCCCCTCAGGCCTCCTGTACTGTCAGGGCTGGGCACCAATGGTTCAGGACATCTCCTTTCCCACTCCCCTATCTGTGCTAGCTCATGAACTGCTCCCTTTGAAGCACTGAGAAGAATTCTTCCTGCATCCACCATCTTGCCCTGTGCTCTGCCTAAGGGAAGCTCACTTGCCTGCTGAGATGGCAAATGTCTGAATTCCACTGGCCATGTTTCCCCAGAGGTAGACCAAAGCATTCAGTCTCTCATCTTATTTTGGACCTCTCCTTCAGAGCCCCCTGGACTACTCAGCTGGGAAAGTCAGTAACCAGTCTGGGCCCCGGGCCCCAGGCCCCAGCCCCGTTCTCCTACAACTTCCTAGAGGTGAAGCTTTCAACCCTGCCTGCCTCTGAAACCTCTTTCTCCATCAATTTGGTTCTCAAGAGTCCGGAGGTGCAAAGACATCACCCTGCAGACCCCAGCAGGTAGAGGCTATAGGGACAGGAGAAAAGGTTTTGTCCCTCAGCTTTGATACATCTAAGACAAAAAGGCAGGGACATGCCAGGGAGACACTGCCCTCACCAGAGAGACTGGGCATGCAAAGCCACAGGAAGGAACCACTCAGTGGGGGCTCTGGGAAAATCTGTTACAAGTACTGACCCCCTGGGTACCCTGTATCTCTTCAACTTCCATCCCCATGGTGACCCAGCTGCGACCCTCATTCCTACATGCAGGCATGACCACTACTCCCACCCCCTACTGTCAAGAGCCTCCTCACTGTCATCCCAGGACTGACGGGGGAGTCGCACCTTGCCTGCAGCTGTCAGGGATCACCTGTTAATAAACGCCCCCAGCAGAGGTGAACAGCTGCTCACCAGAAGGAGCGGCCACTGAAGATGCTGGGCAGAGGTCAGGATGGCCCCTTGCCTAAGAGGAAAGCCTGAAAAGCTGGGGCTCTTTGAACTGCTAATGATTCCTTCCAGACTGTATTAGTTTCCCAGGGAAGAGTCACTGCAAAGTAGGGGGCTTAAACAATCAAAACGTATTCTCTCATAGTTCTGGGACCACAAGTCCAAACTCAAGGTGTTGGCTGGGCTGGTTCCTTCTGGTGGTTCTGAGGAAGAAGCTGTGTCAGGCCTCGCTCTCAGTTTCCGGCAGCTGCTGGCCATCCTTGGAGCTCCTTGGCTTGAGGCTGCAAGACTCTAAGCTCTCCCTTTTCTGTCACATCACCTTTTCCCCTGTCTGTGTCCCCTCTTATGAAGTCAGTTCTCTCTTTGTCTGGAGCCCACTCCGATCCGGGATGATCTCACCCCCAGGACTCTGAACTTAGATCTGCAAAGAGCCTTTTCCCAAATAAGGTCACCTTCGCAGGTTCCAGAAATTGGAACACGGACATATCTTTTGGGGGCCACACTTCAACTCACTACAAGGGGTTGGCCCGGTACCAAGCTGTGTGTGCATGCAGTGGAAATGAGGGGCTGTGTCAGGCAGGTTTCCCTGGGAAATCCCGCTAATGCCTCCACTGAAATTTATAAAGCAGATAAAGACCATGATGGAGGCTCCATGGGTCACAAAAATGGGCGCTCGGTTCTCTGGGTGGGCTTTGGTGGCCTCATACATGAGGAGAGAAGCACGCTGGGAATCCTGCAGTCCCTTTGACACATGGAAAGGCAGTAGCAAGAGGGCATAGCTGGGACCAGGCAAAGCGCAAACCAGGTGAGCACAGCCGGGAAGCCTGGGCATCCCACAGCCACAACGCCTTTCCACGGAGCAGTGCTCAGGCTCGTCGTGTCTCTTCCAGCAAGAATTCTGCAGCAGGAAACACACGGGTGTTTTGGAGCAGGGGCCCCAGTAGATTCTTCACCCTGAAGAGGGACTCAGAATTCCACACACAAGAGCATTCCAGCGTTACCTCTTGGAGACAACGCAACCCGTCACAGCCCCTGTAGCCTCGTGGGAATCGGCCTCCCTCTATGTGGCCCTTCGACAGAGTCATGGAGATTGGAGGCCCCAGAAAATCCCTGACTTGTGACCTGAGGCGCCGTGACACCATGTGGAATAAATGTTCCTTCTCATGAGACCAGGGGCATTCCTAAATTGTGACTTGTCGGATTCTTAAGCAAGATACAGCAGCCCCGTCCAGGCGAACACTGAGTGACAGCTGTAAACCAGCTAAACAGCGTAGTGTCTAGAAATCACATTCAGTTGCTTTTGATATACTGATAAAGAATGGGGAAATAACTCCCCTTCAGTGTCCCAAAAGGGTATTCATTTTTGGGACTGGATGTCACCCCCAGGATCCCAACTTTTGCCTAGGGGCATTAAGAGAGGGGGAAATACTCTGTACCTTACTGAGTCTGCAAACACACAGCTGCCGAGGGAACCCCTCCGTCAACTTGCCCACTGCTAAGCCGCGGCAGTGCTGGGACACAGAAACAACCAGACAACCTCCCTATCAGGCAGGGGGCGGAAACAGTGTGTGTAACACATGGCTACTACCAGACTCAGGCCTTGAGAGCAAATAAAATCTTTTTGATCAAAAGAATGAAAGTGGGACCTAACCTAGAGGGGCAAAGCATCCCTAATTTTGGCAGGACTAAGGTTACAGATAAAAATATAGAGTGCCCAATTGAAATGTGAATTTCAGATAAATAACCAACATTTTTTAAATGCAAGCAGGTCTCACGTATCGCACAGGATGTACTTAAGCTAAAAATAAAACTCCTGGTTGTTTGAAATTCAAATGTAACTGAGCAGCCCGCATTTTTAACTTGGGCATCCTAGGCAGGACCCCAAGGTGTGGGAACAGGAAGGAGCAGAGCTCACCTGATGGCTTCTGCAATCCGAGTGCTCTCCTTCCGCCGGTCACTGGACAACCGGCCTATTAGGTAGGAATAATCCAGGCCGCTGCAGAACACGCTCCCCACCGCGCTGAGGAGCAGCAGTTTGCTGTCGTCCGTGGCTGCATTGCAGAGCGCCCGCCGGACTTCTTTCATGATCTGCAGGCAGAGATGAATTAGCAGGGATGTTAAGTGCCTGTCCTGTAAGCCTGGGGCTTTCGGACCACAAGACAGCCAGAGGGCTGATCCCCTGAGGGTAGAGGCCAGCAAATCTGCTTCTTGCCTGTGCAGGGAGCCTCCCCTGAATACAAGCATGAGTCCAGAGGAAGGAGAAAAGCACTTGTCATAACCAAAGCCCTCCAGCACCATCCCCAGAGCAGGCACAAGAGTGCTAATAAGGAGGCAGTGTGGTCAATGGCTGCAGATCTGGAAGCCTGGCCTGGAGTTGCTCAATCCCTGGTAAATCTCTGCAAATCTTGTCCTGGCATTTGCTTATTTAGCCCTTTATAAGATGTGGAAAAAGTCTGTGCACAGCCCAAGTGAGGGATGTAAGTCATCTCTAGATGACTCAATTTAATTATTACACATCCTTGCTCATCTTTCATTCAGCTAATATCCCACATGGCTTGCAGGTAGCACATGCATGTGGGTTCTGGAATCAGACACAGACCTGGGTTTAATGTCCCACTGGAGTTCCAGGCCTCTGGTCCAATTCTGGCTCTGCAACTCACTAGCTATGGGACTTGAGCCATGCTGATTATTTATCCTCAATGTCCTCATCTAGAGGGTGTACCCACTCTCAAGGCCTACAATGAAGAATAAATGAAAGGAAAGGTTATGGCCAGACATGGTGGCTCACACCTGTAATCCCAGCACTTTGGGAGGCAGAGGCAGGTGGATCATGAGGTCAGGAGTTCAAGACCTGCCTGGCCAAGATGGTAAAACCCCATCTCTCCTAAAAATACAAAAATTAGCCAGGTGTGGTGGTGGGCACCTGTAATCCCAGCTACTCAGGAGGCTGAGGTAGCGAATTACTTGAACCCAGGAGGCGGAGGTTGCAGGGAGCCGAGATCATGCCACTGTACTCCAGCCTGGGCAACAGAGCAAGACTCTGTCTCAAAAAAAAATTAGAAAGAAAGAAAAAGAAAAAAAATAGAAAAGCAAAGAAAGGAAAGGAAAGGTTATGCTCTGGCCACCTGCAGGTTCACAGTTCACATTCCTGGGAGGTATGGTGAATTCTGGATAAAAGGCATTTTGTTCCTCTTCATGCCACTAAAGGTGTCATTTGACATGGGAGAACTGTGTTGGCTACCCTGCCATGATGGGGCAACGTCCCCTCATCTCCTGCGTGTATCTCCTGCTTGTATGCCCTGGGATTTTTAGGACTCTATGACCTTGTCTGGAGCAGGTGCAGGGCAGGAGACAGACACAGGTGCCCTCGGTGAGTGGTAAGACCAACAAGCGCTACCTTAGGAGTGAACATGTACTGCAGGCCAGGTACCCTGCTAGGTGGGTTCCAGCCTCCCCAGCACCAGTGAGTGGGCAGACACTGTCCTTACTTCTCTCCAGAGACCAGGGAACAGATGCCTTGAGAGGTCATGACACTAGTCCAAGGCCACACAACTGGTAAGTGTTACAGGTAGATGTGAGCCTTGGCCTGGCGCACACAGTGCCTAGTCTACATGCTTTGACACTGCAAACTCCCGCTGTCTGGCCATGGCCTCCCATTCACGGAGGAGGAGGGCAGTCAGCTCCTGAGCAAGCAGCCAGGCCAGGGAGGAACAGGTAGGGGTGGGGCAGCTAGGAGAGTCCAGCGCTCCCAGTTACGACCCTGCAGCCTTCTTTGAACGTCTTGCCTGTGCCAAGCCCATATTCACCTAATTACCTTTGCTTGTGCCAATCTCCCCGCCCCTTGTGATGTTGCCCAGGCGCCGTGATTCTGAAAGTCCTTCTATGACCCACCCATTATCCTCTCTCCACCCCCCCTTGCCCAGCACCCCCCCGAGTTTTCTTCACATTTCATATGCTTACCTATCTTACCTACCACTTGCTTCCTGCCTTTTATTTGTCCACACTTGCTCAACTGTGATTTTAATAAAGACGGGAATGGCATCCCTCTTATTCCGCACCGTATCCTCAGAGACTAGCACAGTGCCTGGGGTTTGGTGGACACTCCATATCTGCTTGTTTAATCACATAGAAACTCCCTCGTAGCCCATTTCCTCAACTTCAGAAGAAAATGATGCAGGCTGGTTGCTCAGACACCTAGAAGCTTTTACAAGGTCAACTCAAAAGGCACCTATGAAAACCATTTAAAAGACTGGAGAATTTGCCACCAAAAAGCTTGCACCCCATGAAGGCTGTGTTTACGTTCTTCAAAGGCATGCAGCTGGGCTGTTTAGCTCCTCATCATATGAAGAACTATCTTTGGATGAACCTGAAGGTTACGGAGCACTTGCCCCTGAATACTTGTACCCCCAACCCCTTGTGAGGTGGGCATTATTATTAACTCCATTTTACAGAAAGGGAAACTGAGTCTCAGGGAGAAAGTGACTTTCATAAGGCAAGATGTCAGTAAGTGGTAGAGCCTGCGCTAACAGACTGGCTGGCTCAAAGTTTCCTGCTGAGACAGTACAGGCTCTGTCCGCCCCAGGCACTTTCAAACTTTGCTGCTTAAAGTGTGGTCCTCATAACAGCAGCCTCACATCACTCAGGAGGTGGCCAGAAATGCAACATCTAGGGCCCCAGCCCAGACCTACAGGGGATTCTAGAAGGTCTCCATGGGACTGTGGGGCTAGAGTTGGACACAAGCTCCACTTCTACCCCACGGTGTCTTGGATGATCTGGGATGAAATCATTAGCCTCTCCTGGTCTCCATATCTGTAAAATTCAGAGCTACTTCATATCCAACTAATCAATAAACAAGATGCGAACAGACTGCTTAGCGCAGGGCATGGCACATACCCTGCAAGAGGTCCCCTTTTATTTTTTATTTTTTTTTGAGACAGAGTCTCGCTGTGTCACCAGGCGCCAGGCTGGAGTGCAGTGGCGCGATCTCTGCTCACTGCAACCTCCTCCTCCTGGGTTCAAGCGATTCTCCTGCCTCAGCCTCCTGAGTAGCTGGGACTACAGGCGCGCACCACCAAGCCCAGCTAATTTTTATATTTTTTAGTAGAGACAGGGTTTCAACATGGTCTTGATCTCTTGACCTCGTGATCCACCCGCCTCGGCCTCCCAAAGTGCTGGGATTACAGGCGTGAGCCACCGCGCCCAGCCCAGAGGTCCCTTTTTATATACTGACCCTACAGAACAGGTCAGGCTCTGCCCCAAGGGCTTTCAACCCTCACTACTCAAAGTGTGGTCCTCAGACCAGCAGCTTCACATTCTCAGGAGCTGGCTAGATGGGCAGAGTCTTGGGCCCCAGCCCAGACCGACAGAATGAGTCTCTGCATTTTCATGGGACCTGCAGGGAATTTATACACATGTTACTGTTTGAGAAATGCTGCTTTATGATGTGAACTCACTTAGCCTTATGAGGGAGTCACTTGTTCAAGCCCCATTTTATGAATGACAGAATCAAAGCACAGTGACTTTGCGAAGTTTGCAAGTATGGGGTGGAGCTAGACTAGGACTCAGGAAGTCAGGCTTTGGGGCCCAGGTCCTTCACTGCAAGCTAGGCTGCCCTCAAAGCTCAGGGCTTTTCATCTGAAGACCTCCACATGATAGCAGTCTGGTTACGGGAGCAGCAGGAAATAAGCTCTGTGGTGCTCAAGGGAAAGCAGACCTGTCTCCCTTCCCAGACTGTGGATTTTAGGATGGAGCTGGGGTCTGAAGCTCAGCTCCTGCCATACACATGCTGTGTTCTGAGGCCCAAGCATCATCTAGACCCTCAAAGTCTGTGTACTGGCTGAACCAACCCCCCACAGCCCTGCACACTGCCTGACTCCTTCCAGTCACAACCTTGCAGTGGACACTGCACATCTTGACTAGACATTGTCTCCTGGGTGCCTGGTTTTCACAAAGACTCATGGCAGTGTGGCCAGGCTGAAAGGGTGCGGGCTCTGGAGACAGGTAGCCTATGATGGAATCCGGCTTTACCACGAACAAGTTCAGCCCCTCTAGTCCTTCTGCTACCTGTTTGCCACACCACAGTTAGGATAAGCCACTCCAAAAAATAATTTATTTTTGCTGTAAGAAAACTCTCCCATGATAAGCTAAAACTCCAAGCCTGCCCTGTGTGTGGATTTGAAGTTCTGAGTTACCACACCCACATGGGGAAGAATCCACAAGATAAAAAATTAACACAGAAATTGGACACAGGCTAGTAATATCCCTGAGATATCTGATGGAAATAAACGTAAAAGTACTCTGGAGAGAAACTGCAACTCAGACTGCATGGAAATTATACAAGAAAAAAAATCCTAGATGAAGATGAACTCACATTCAAAAATTACAAAACACTTGAGGAAATACAAATTGGCATACTCAGCAAATGGGAAGATTATATAACATGACTTCAAGTAATAGAAGAATCCAAAAGGGACTGCAAAATACAAATGTGTGAAATAATCACAGAGAGGAAACGAGACATGAACAATAAGGAAAGAACAGGAGAGTATGGGGGGAAATAGATTTGAGGAGAGAAAGAAACTTCTGGAAATAAAAAACAAAGTCATGGACATCTTCTGAGATCAGCAGCAGATTAGGTGGCTCTAAAGGGAGCATAAATTAACCAAAATGCCTGAAGTAACTGACCAAAATGTAGCATAGAAAAACAGAGATGGAAAATATAACAGAGAGATTAAAGACAAGAATGATAAAATTTAAAATAGGTGCTGTAGGGATTCTATCAGGAGATCACAGAGAAGAGGAGAGAGTCAGTATCTAAAGAGATAAAGGATGAAAATTTAACAGAATTGATGAAGGACGCACTAGTTTCCTATACCTGCTTAAAAATTACTATAAATTTGGTAGCTTAAAATAACACAAACTTATCTTCCAGTCTTGTAGGTCAGAAGTCTGATGCAGGTTTACTGGGCTAAAATCAAGCTGTCAGTAAGGCTGTATTCCTTTGCGGCGGCTCTAAAAGAGAATCATTTTCTTGCCTTTTCTAGCTTGTAGAGGCCACCCACATTCTTTGGTTCATGGCCCCTTCCTCC